ATTTTTGGGGCGCGAAATGAAAACAGTTTTCCAAAAAGTTTGAATCAAGGGCGGATATTACGCCTCACTTAAAATTCATCACAAAGACTAGGCTTTTTACTCTGCCACACTTTTAATACTTTGGGCTGTTTATTTTGAAAACTTACAATATTAACAATAAGTCCAAAAAGTAATGACAAACATAGTGTTTGGAAAAATTATATTTTTGTACATTATTGTTGTGTTGTGTGCATTCCTTCCTAAGAATATCATTGGGGATTCCAAAATTTGGTTTTTTGTGTGCATGCTTTCTGTATGATATTGTTTTCCAGCTATGAAACAAAAAAATCTCTAGTAAATGGCTTTGGATGTAGTTTTGATTATGGATAAACACCTTCGCAAGTGTTTAAATTCCAATTCATTAGTAGATATTGATTTTTTAATTTTTACTAATATTGATTTTATCTAAATATGACATGAAATGCTTAAATCGGAATATACTAACCAAGACTGCTCGTATCAGGGCGAAGCCCTGAATGTTCCGACTGCCTTTAAAGGTTTATGAAGCAGTAATAACATCAAAAACATAAATGTAATAAAACAAAATGAAAATATTTTTTTTTCTAAAATTTGAAATTTTTTATGAAAATTATCCCCCCACACGCCATATAAAGTACAAAAGGATAGATTTTGCTCCTTGTAACAAATCAATAATGGCAAATGAGCTTCTTTCAACCAATTTTGAACGATTTCTAAGACGGATTAAATCTCCGCTTACGCGTTAATAGCGCGAAATATATCGCGCGTTAATTGTCCCAAATTGGCCAAATTGACAATCTTTAAACCCCCATAACTTTACGAAAAATGATCACAGGTAAAATATCTTTTCAAATTTGAGCTCAAAACAACAATATTTTTTGAATGATATTAAAAAAATTCCGTCAAAAAGGGGTACGTAAAAAGTCGAAATTTGTCTGAAGAAAAAAAAACCCACCCCGAGCACAAATATTCCGTTACTTTCGTATCGAAAGTCGGAACAACAAGACTGCTCGTAACAGGGCGAAGCCCTGAATGTTCCGACTGCCTTTTAAGGTTTATGGAGCAGTAATAACATTAAATAATTCAATGAAATAATTAAAATGAAATTTTTTTTTCTAAAAATTGAAATTTTTAATGAAAATCATCCCCCCACACGCCATATAAAGTACAAAAGGATAGATTTCGCTCCTTTTAACAAACCAATTATGGCAAATAAGCTTCTTTTAACCAATTTGGAACAATTTCTAAGAAGGAATAACTCTCCGCTTACGCGTTAATAGCGCGAAATATCGCGCGTTAATTGTCCCAAACTGGCCAAAATTGCAATCTTTAAACCCCCGTAACTTTACGAAAAATAATCACAAGTGAAATATCTTTTCAAATTTGAGCTCATGACAACAATACCTTTTGAAAGATATAAAAAAATTCCGTCAAAAATGGCTAGTTAAAAAGTCGAAATTTGTCTGAAGAAAAAAAAACCCACCCCGAGCACAAATATTCCGTTACTTTCGTATCGAAAGTCGGAACAACAATGACCCCTTCACCCCACTATGGTGTCCGATAAAAAAATTGGTCTTTTTACTTTTTCTTCTCTAATTTAAAGTTTGTTGTATTCGATGTATAAATGCAGAGAAAATTACACTGATCATACTGACTAGCTTGGTAAATTCAAATGCGATCAGTTTTTCCCTTAACTGGGAAACGAACTTTAACGAAGTCGAGTTTTGAGCAAGTAATGAAGCTGGTCATTTTTTTCTCGAGCTTTTATGTGTGTTTTTTTTTCTGGTCTGGGTAAAAGTCTGCACCTTATTTGAAAGAAATTGAGTGTTTTACCAAAAATATATTTTTGGCCGATTTGGCTTATAAGTCGACTTAAAATTGTAAACAACGAAGTTTTGAGATGTTCTGAAATTTGATTTACTAGTTTTAGCCATTTGGGTTGCTTTAGTTTTAGCCCTTCAGATTGAAGCAAAAAATATGTTTGGGATGTTCATGTATGGATTTTGGCTTTTAAGAGTCAAAATCTTTATCATAATCGAAGATTCTGTCGTGATTCATATTTGACGAAAAAATCAAATTTATTAGGTCTAAAAATTTTGGTTACCAGACCAGTTCAATTTGCTGATTATTGGTTAAGTAGCTTAGTCCTCGTTCGGAAACTTCGCTTTGATTCTATTTCTTCCGAAATGCGAAAGAGGTGACATATTGTACGCTCCGGATTACTTTTACTCCAGATAATTTTTTTTTGTTTTGTCATTTTTGGCGTAACTTTATTTATATCAATCAAAACTTATTGTTGTATTAAATCAAAATTGCAAAAATACGAAGTTTAAAGATTACCATTTTGACAAAGTTGAAACAGTTAACGAGTATATTTCTTGCTTCAGTTGTTTATTATAACAACACGTAACCCCTACGTTATAAACCCGTAACAGTATAACGCCACAACAATTAAACACTTTTTCAATACCGATTGTTTGTTTCAAATGGTTTTTTTTACAAGAATAAGTGCACTAATTGAGTCCGGAGAAGGCAATTTATAATTCACATGATGCAATTAGTCACTAATAAATCATTGCATTTTGATTAGCTGAAAGAATAATCCCTCATTTAAGCGTTTAAAATGAGATACCTATATCGTGGTAATTCGAGGTAACACAAGACGCGACCCTGTAACGCGACCGATAATGCGGCCCTGAAACGCTAAAAAACCGTGTTTTGTTTGGCTGACGAAACTGCCACAGCCATCTAGAAAATTTTATCATCTTTTCTTTATACAGGTTGACTTTTCAGGAATAAACTCCGCGTGCATATAGGAATTCAAACAAAATCAAACAAAAAAGACTTATCACCGTTTTTAGGTGACCTAAAAACACTTGCCCCTGATAATATACCTGAAAGAATAGTGCTGAATTTTGAGCTTGCCAATTTTCGAACCCTTCAGAAATTTTTTTAGAGTCTAAGTTAGGAAAAACATTTGATAAAATTGTCCAGGAAATTCAAATAGTATGCCATTCAACCGTAAAACAGTAGAAAAAATTGCTAAAATTTACAAGCTGCACCTTTATATTTGCATCTATTTACATAAAAGTCTCGTTCTGAAATAAAATCCTCTTCACCCCTTCAATCTGGAATCAAAAGGATGCGGCATCATCCAGTTTGACTAAAACAACAAACGTTGTAAAGGCCTGGAACTTTTGCATTCTGTCATATTTCATTGGATTGCTTCCCAGCAAGGGGAAATGCGCTTTCGCCAAAGAATTCAATTTCTCTAACGCTTCCATGTAGCACCAGTTAAAAAAAAAGTACCGGGTCCTAAACAAAAGAGTGCAGAATCTTACGCTTACCTACAACAAAATCTGATTTGAGTTTCTTTCGCGCTATGAAGAACTCAATCTAAGATTTTGTTCTTTACTTTTTTGCTTCTTTTTTATTTTGAAACTTTGTTTGTTAGTTTTTGGAGAAAAGAAGTCTAATTGCAACCTACCGGAAACGTTAAGCAACGGACTGTCATGACTTGCATTTGAAAAGTGCTGTCACTAGCAGTTTTTTTTCCTGAGAGGTTGCTCTTTTGGCGGGAGGTGTGCCAGAAAAAAGGCAAAAAAACTTACAAACTTTATTTGGTCTGAAAATTTATAGATTGGTCCTTTGGTTTGAAAATTTATAGATCTAGCTCGATATCCTATTCAATCGGCTAGATCATGTTCAACTATAGAAAACTCTAATAGAATTTAGTTATATATTTGAGTCATGTCGATTTGATTAATTTTCAAATTCATATCGAAGGCTACACTATCGGCAAGGTAATTGCTGCTCAAAAATATACCGCATTTAGCATGTTTTTTTGTTTCGTTTTGCGTTTTTTGTTGCAATTAAAGCCTCGATGCTTCCAATGCTATGTTTCTGAATCCCTTTAAAGTATTAGCACTTCGATTCTAGCAATTACTTCTAAGAAAGTGTTAAATTATGTACAGGTTGTCCAGTTTTTTGAGTTTTTGAGAGGGATTTACAAAATAGGAATCGTCCCTTACAAATCAATTGAAATACAAAACAGTTCAAAAATCATGAGATTAGGTTAGAAAAAAGTCAGATGCAAAACAGTCCGGTTTAAGTTCACCGATGGTCGCTCTATTCTCACGTCGCCACTCCGCGGCAATAACCGGCTGCAATTCTTGTATAATTCTATGTTGGCAAGCTTTTATCAAGTTGGTGCGACTGCGGCAGTCACTATTCTGTTGTATACTTTGTTTGAACGAATAAGGACAATTCTACGTCTACCGGCTTTAAAAGCCAATTATCACTTGGAACTGTTTTTCGGATTGTTTTGTATCGGACCATATTTTCGTTCATTTCAACTTTAACCTTTTTTTACATAGCGTGTGGGGGAAGATTTTTATGTTTTTTTTCTTTTTTTTAAAGTCTCACATAGTTTCAAAGCTGAGACTACACCTGAGGCCTTGTCAAGTCGGAATTTTTACGGCTTCGCCCTGATACGATCAGTCTTGTTCTTTTATACGGCTCAATTCATCAAATAGTTTTTATCTAGTACACGAAGCCCTAAAAATGTCTAACTTTCGGCTTTTAAGTTTTGCAAAGATTACTTTGATAGAATTATCTGTGCCATTTTGTAACAGTAATGTGGATTGGAGGTTTTGTGGATTGAAGTTTTGTGGATTGGAGATTTTCGGTTTCGGTTTTATGACCGGATTGATTGAAATTACTTCCAGCTAAATAATATCAATAAAAGTAAAATTTCAATCATCAAATTGATAAGTTTAGGCGGATCTTTTTAACTATATCCCTCTGGAGTACCTAGTGACGAATATCCCCTATAAGGAAATAAATCAACGGTTAAGCAAATGAGATGTTTATACCCTGTAACGAATCAACCCCCCCCCCCCCTCCCACTTGCAAAAGGGAATATAGCTAAAGAGATCGGTTTAGGCGTATAGACGAAAAGACCCGTTCAAATTGTATCTGACTTGTTGGGTTGCATTGTGAGGCTTCTGCTGAATGAGGATGCCAGGGGTACCACCACCCATTCCGGAAGAGACTCCTCGGAAGGAGACAGTCCTGTGTAGATGAACTTCAGAGAGACCTAAATTGAGGGCAGTCATTTAGTGTTGTAATGATGAAATGATGCTTTATTTGAGTAGCTCCTTTGCAATTTCCCACCCCCTAAAAATTAGAATCTTGTTGACTGTCCCCCCCCTTTGAAAAGGGGGTCGGGGAGTTCGATACAAGGTACGAAGATCATATATGAATAGTTAACGGTTCAATTTTTTCTAGATAGGCGAAATTCGGTGCGAGGCACCATTGGAGGTGTGAAGGATAGTCAACAAGATCCAAAAAGTATAACCATAAGTTTATAAGTTTGTAACCATAAAGTAAAAAGTTAGTTGAAACAAAAGTAAACCAATTTTGCAATAAGTATTTCCAAAATTGGCTAACTTGTTCACGCTGACACGTTTTATGACATTTTAGAATATCAAATTTCTTTTTAAACAAGATTTTGTTACTCGAACTTCAAAAAATATTAAAAAGGGACTGAAAAAAAGCTATTTGATTACAATGAAATTTCATTTTCTATAAAAATTACAAAAAAAATTACGAGAGCGATTTAATTTTTTTTTAAAATTACAAGAACTTAACCGGTTAATTCAACATGGTTAATCGATTAATCTAAGAACTAACCCCTCCATGCCCTATCAAATGATTTAAGAATTTCAACAAATCCTCTTGTTACATACTTGTGAAAATGAAATGACAAACTGGCTGGTTTTTGTTCCGACTTTTGAAAAAGGGCTCTTTTCCAGCTCATCCCCCTTTCAATTTGCTGATTCTTTTGTCATCAATTTTTAAAATAAACATTACCAAAATTTAATTTGATACAATTCCAACAACAGGAAATTAAAAAACTAAAAAAAACTCATTCAAACTTTTTACTCGAAACAAGTGAAATTATATTGAAATTACCGGAATGCATAAAAAACTTCAAAAAAGAATTTTATCGAGCTGTATAAAATCGAATCTACCAAAAAAATTTCAATTGAAATTCTCTAAAAAGAGAAAAATTTTACACAAAGCAAGATACTGTGACTGCGGACACGAAATTAAATTACTTACTTTGGATCGCGAAGATCGATGGAGATGTCTTAAAAAATGCAGAAAACAAAACAATTCAAAGCCGGAATTTGGCTAGAAGGCACTTATCTGAGCTATCAACAGGTTATAATTTTCTTGTACTACTGGTCGGAAAAGTATAGTTCGATCACGTTTTGTGAAAGAGAACTTAGAATCGGGCATGCAACGACTCTATATTTTTGTTCGAGAAGTTTGTGCGGTTTTTTTTCCTGAGAATCCGAAAAAAATGGTGGAAAAGGCAATACATTCAAAATTTACGAAAATTTTTTGGTAAGACGAAAGCATGACAGAGGCAGAATGATTGTCTTTGGAATCATAATGCTCGAACCTGATTGGTTAAAATTACTTCCAGCCACAGATCATCAAAGCAAAATCTCAGTCATAAAATTGATAATTTTGAGCGAATAACAAAAAAAACCCGTGCAAATGGTGTTTCTGACTTCTTGGGTAGCACTGTGAGGCTTCTGCTGTACGAGGATGACCTCAAGTGTCATTAAAAATTATTTTATCTATTATTTCTTCTGCAAAGTTAAGGGGGGTTAAACATTGCCAAATTGGCCGATTTGGGATATTTAACGCGCGATATATTCCATGCTACTGATGTGTGAGCGGAAGTATAATTTATGGGGTTTTAAATTTTGTCAGTTTTGCCGATTTGGAATATTTAAAAATTTAACGAGCTATATTTTTCGTGCTACTGATGTGTGAGCGGAGAATTATTTTAAGCGTGATAATTTTTTTTCCAAAGAAATCTAAAAAAAAGGATATTTTTTCATTTTTTGATATATTATCAATTTTATTTAAAGCTAACTCTTTTTTCAATTTTTGATACAAAATAACTTGTAAGTTTTATGCCTTTTCCATTCACGATACAAAATAATTTAAAAAATGTGAAGCATTTTGCCTATTAAAAAGTTGTAAAGTTTTTTTTCACTGATTCACGTTCTCGTTTTTTCTGCTTTTCGGAACATCAAAAGTTATTTTAAATAGGCTTTTGTAAGCAAATCTCAAAACAATCAAAAGGAAGAACTGGAATAGAGTTAAAGCCAACACTACTCTATATATCGAGTAAGGCACTGTTACGAGCAGTCTTGTTAAGTTTACAACGATATGGTTGTCCAACAGGATCAACCAAACAATCTCCTCCTTAAGAACTCCCCCTCGCAAGTTATGTTTTCGGAAGTTGGTTATGTATAAAGTATGCATTTTAAACAAGTCCACAAACAAAGTTGGTTTTCACAATTTTACGTAGGATTGCATTTGAATACTGTTAATTAATTAAATTGATGAATTTTCATTCAATTTTTTTTCTAATAAAACGGTTAAACTTGAATAAATCTAGACTATACTGAAAGTTATTACCCAAAAATCCATATTTTTTGCTCCCCAAATTGCTTTTAGGTATATTGTACGATTGATTTGTGCAACTCATTACAATTTTGAAAAAAAGCTAAAACAAGCTTTTTGCATAAAACTTCTTTCTCACAATCTTATGAACTTTCGACAATCGGCAATGACATGTCGAGTTGTCTTGAAATGGCGGTTAAAAATAAGTATCGTTGTCGTTATTTTTTTGCTGATACTTCTACGTCAGCAACAAGATAACATCTGCAAAAATTACGTTTTATTGATTACGTTTTACAAGATTACGTTTCAGCAAGATTACAAGATGGCGTTTGCTATTTTTTTTCAGATTACGTCTGTAACAAGTTTTTTTAGGAGTTGCCTGCCGCGCAAAATTGTTTTAGCAAGTCAAAGTTTTCTATTGATCTAGGGAGGATGGATTTTTTTTTGGAAAATCACCTTTTTTTCTCCAGCATAAATTGTAGATCCCCCTCTTTTAGTAAGCATGTGACTTTTATAGTGTATCACTCTTATGTCGAAAGTTAACCCAAGTTGAAAAAAAGGAAATATATATTTTTATTCTTTTAGACCGGTTAATTTAATTCACCTCAAGGGTAACATAACAATAATTCAAAAATTTATCAACCCAAAATTTATCAATTTATCAGCCGGAAAACAATTTAGTTATGCAACTTAAAAACAGATTGCCAATTTTGTTATGCAACTATTACGTAATTCTGATTAAATGTCGGCTACAACTGATATCGAGCATTTGGGTCAACCGCTCATTTTGAAGCAAGATTTTGAGCGAAATCGTCTACAAAAACCGCTCAAATCGCTCAAATCTTGCTTCAAAATAGGTGAAAAATCTCGACTCGGGGAGCACAGTCGAAACATAAATCGAGCACCTCGACCCGGGAAGATATGGCGGTCTGTTGAGCATCCGACCAGCATAAGATAGTTGATTACCTTCATAAGTACACAGCTGTCAAGAGCGAATCTGATTTGGTCGACATAAACATCAAAAGAGTCGCTGTTTCCTAGAAACCGACAGTCGCCTTCGCCACTCATTTTGAACCCACACAAGTATAAGGATGCGGCAGAGAAAAATATGAGCTAGTCGTGAGTTTCTACCTTGAGAAAGTTAATTAGTAATAATAATCTGAACGGATTTATCAGAAAAAAGTGCGTTATAAGAAGTTAGCTCGAGTGTTTTTTAGAATTTGAAATATTGCTTGACAAGCAACCAAGAGATATAATTTTTCAAAATTGGAATTGTTGGATTTGTTTGAAAAGTGAAATGACAGCGCTGCTAATATGTTTTTATTCTTCAATATACTGAAACTATTGATGTTTGTATGATGATCATAAATATAAAGTATTGTTTTGGATGCTTGTAATCAAAGCTGGACTCTCAAACTGGAAATGTAACTCAAGTGTGCAGAGGAAAACGGCCAAATGTTCTGATTATTAATTATTTAGTCCTTTTTTTATAAAAAGGAAACAAAATAGCTCGCACTCATTTTTTTTGCTAATTGTATATTGAAAATAGTTGAGTCATAAGAAGGAAAAGGTTTTGTTCCATTACAAAAAAAAGTGACTTTTTGTTTAAAAAACAGATAGTCGGTAATATTCAAAATCTTTGAATTATCGAAGTCTTTTTTGGGTCAGATTTCAAATTACCAGTTTTCACCCATCCGCATCTAAGTTTGGGCTTAAGCATTTGAATATACCCGGGTTGACAAAAAATTCTCATCAAATTATTTCATAATATGAAAAAAATGCTTATCATACTAACTCATACTAATTCATTCATCAAAAAAATTACTAATAAAATAGCAAGATAAGAATTTTTTTCCATACTATAAAATATTAAAGTAAGCATTTTTTGCCATATTCTGGATTTAAAAAACAAAAGTTTGGCCATACTTTTACATTGAGCTTAAGCCAAAGCTAGCTTTCTCATAGAGTAACTTCAGATGAGGTACACCGTCTGTTCCTCACGCTAACTAATTTTCGGCCGGATAGATTCGTGCAACTTCTTAGTCTAATACCAATCTTAATCTTTCTCTTATATCTCCTAATCTCAATAGATCTAGTGTAAACTGGTATTTTAAGGGTTAGGTTTATGGAACTTGTCCAAAGGAGAACAACTGTCTTCTAAAATTTATTCAAATTGTTTTGGTGCTGAAACTACAAGTAGTTTCAGCACTACAAATAACTTTCAGTATTAGTTATGGAATATGATTGGTTAGTAATATTTTGTAGGGATAGTTTTATCAACATGACAATTGGTTATAAATACTAGTGTAGAACTGGTTCCGCCCATCCGGGGCTTAGAGAGTTTTCAGTTTTTGAATCGTTTTTTTTTTGTAGTGAGGGACGGATAGAGAGATTTCTTATTCTTTAGAGTAGTTTTCTTTTGAGTGAATAGAGCAGTGCCTCCGTGAAAGGAGGAGAGATGTAGTTGTTTATATAGAGAAAAGAAGAACAGTTGTTCGTGTTTCAGAAGTGGGTCTTTTTTGATCATGGGTCGTCTCGACTGATCGTGTCAAGATTCTAGATCGATGCAATGATGTGTCAATTTCGTTAAACTTAGAGCGAGACTGCGTGCAAAATGAAGTTTGATCTCTCTGTGTGAAGTGCCAAGTGACTAGGATTGATATGTGAGATCAACATGGAGTTGGCCATTGGTCTTTTTCAACGGTTTCCTTTGCTGCGAGATTGATTCCATATTTTAAATCCTGCCTGCGAGGATTGTGACTACGCAAAAAGCAAAAGATTTGCCATTCCAGAGTTGGAATGTCGTCAAGTTTTCATCTCCTTTACTGCTCGTTCTGTTTGCTCTAAGAACTCTTTCACATTGCATTTTTATATCTACATCTTGTTAGTGAGACCAGTTTTAGTTATGATGTTCTATTAGTCGTTTTCGCATAAGCCTTTATTATTTAGTTCGGTTATTTTAAAGAGTCGCTCACCCAACAGCAACTCTCGTCAAAAATAGAGTGTGGGTCAGCGGGGTTGTAGCCCGGTGGGTTAGGCCGGCTATAGAGTATGCTCAGGACGTTCTACTGGGTGGTGAGGCCAGCGAGGGAGTGTAATTTTACGGTCTTTTTGGGCAGAGTCTCTTTTTGTGTTCAACTTTTTGTTCCATTTTATCTCGTGTTTTTCTTTTTTTTTGTTTTGGTTATAAATCATTTTGTATTGAGTTTTTCTTTTTACCTTTTTGTGTTTCGTTTGGTTTCCATAAAACTTGAAAGTGGGTTTCAAAAGAAATATTCATCATTTTTTAATCTGAGTTTAATCCGGTTTCGGTACCGTGGGACTTTCTTATTCATGCTGTTGGTGGTGTGGCGTCAGTAAGCTGCGTTGGTTAGCTTAAGTTTACTCTTACATCTCCCAGTCTTATTAGGTCTTGTGTATACTGCTATTTGCGGGTTAGGTTTATGGAACTTGTCCAAAGGAGAACAACTGTCTTCTAAGATTTATTCAAACTGTTCTGGTGCTAAAATTACAAGTAGTTTTAGCACTACAAATAATTGTCAGTGTTAGTTATGGAACATGATTGGTTAGTTAGTAATTTTTTATTGGTATAGCTTTATCAATAATATAATTGGTTATAAATTATAGCTTGAAACTGGTTTCAATATCAAAAAAAAGTTACGAAAATAGCAATGAAATTGTTTGAATAGCTAATTATGAAAACATTTGATATGATGAGCATTTTCCATAACTGAAAATTTTGTTTTGAACTTGTGTTTCATCCGAAACAATTAGCAAAAATTTATTTTCATGCGAAAACCCAGAGTGTTTCAGTTGCCACGCAGTTGCCACGTGGTGATTTTAACCATATAAGTTAGTTTCAATTTTTTCACATAGAAATCTACACTAAAAGTTTTTTTTTGCATAAGGCTAAAAAAAAATTTAGTTCAAAATTTTTGTTTGATGAAAAAAAGGCTTGTTTTTTTTTTTACAAATTTATCTTTAGAGATCAACTTACTGTCAAAAAGATAGTTTCAGTTTCGGTCGGCAAAAATGCTTATCATATAGTTTTCATATATGAAAACTATATGATAAGCCTTTTTGCCGACCGGAAATGACATTATCTTTTTGGCAAAATACTTATTGTACAATTTCATATTTGAAAGTTATCTGACAAGCGTTTTTTCGAACAAAAATAAGATTTCTTTTTTGATAGTTAAATTGCTCTTTGTCATTAAAAGCTTTCAATAACTTGATTTGTAATTACCAAAACATGTTTTTAGAGAGATTTAAAAAAATTCTAAAACGAAATGCTTATCTTACAAATTTTATCCATGAAAACTGTATGATAAGCATTTTTCTTCCAAGTTTCTTTTTAAATCTTTTTTACAAGACAAGAAAATTACAATTGAGCCAAATAGAATAAAAATGTGTATCAAAAACTTTAAAGTAGTTTTTATATTTTGAATTTCTTCCAAGTTTCTTTTTAAATCTTTTTTACAAGACAAGAAAATTACAATTGAGCCAAATAGAATAAAAATGTGTATCAAAAACTTTAAAGTAGTTTTTATATTTTGAATAGAGTGTGGGTCAGCGGGGTTGTAGCCCGGTGGGTTAGGCCGGCTATAGAGTATGCTCAGGACGTTCTACTGGGTGGTGAGGCCAGCGAGGGAGTGTAATTTTACGGTCTTTTTGGGCAGAGTCTCTTTTTGTGTTCAACTTTTTGTTCCATTTTATCTCGTGTTTTTCTTTTTTTTTGTTTTGGTTATAAATCATTTTGTATTGAGTTTTTCTTTTTACCTTTTTGTGTTTCGTTTGGTTTCCATAAAACTTGAAAGTGGGTTTCAAAAGAAATATTCATCATTTTTTAATCTGAGTTTAATCCGGTTTCGGTACCGTGGGACTTTCTTATTCATGCTGTTGGTGGTGTGGCGTCAGTAAGCTGCGTTGGTTAGCTTAAGTTTACTCTTACATCTCCCAGTCTTATTAGGTCTTGTGTATACTGCTATTTGCGGGTTAGGTTTATGGAACTTGTCCAAAGGAGAACAACTGTCTTCTAAGATTTATTCAAACTGTTCTGGTGCTAAAATTACAAGTAGTTTTAGCACTACAAATAATTGTCAGTGTTAGTTATGGAACATGATTGGTTAGTTAGTAATTTTTTATTGGTATAGCTTTATCAATAATATAATTGGTTATAAATTATAGCTTGAAACTGGTTTCAATATCAAAAAAAAGTTACGAAAATAGCAATGAAATTGTTTGAATAGCTAATTATGAAAACATTTGATATGATGAGCATTTTCCATAACTGAAAATTTTGTTTTGAACTTGTGTTTCATCCGAAACAATTAGCAAAAATTTATTTTCATGCGAAAACCCAGAGTGTTTCAGTTGCCACGCAGTTGCCACGTGGTGATTTTAACCATATAAGTTAGTTTTAATTTTTTCACATAGAAATCTACACTAAAAGTTTTTTTTTGCATAAGGCTAAAAAAAAATTTAGTTCAAAATTTTTGTTTGATGAAAAAAAGGCTTGTTTTTTTTTTTACAAATTTATCTTTAGAGATCAACTTACTGTCAAAAAGATAGTTTCAGTTTCGGTCGGCAAAAATGCTTATCATATAGTTTTCATATATGAAAACTATATGATAAGCCTTTTTGCCGACCGGAAATGACATTATCTTTTTGGCAAAATACTTATTGTACAATTTCATATTTGAAAGTTATCTGACAAGCGTTTTTTCGAACAAAAATAAGATTTCTTTTTTGATAGTTAAATTGCTCTTTGTCATTAAAAGCTTTCAATAACTTGATTTGTAATTACCAAAACATGTTTTTAGAGAGATTTAAAAAAATTCTAAAACGAAATGCTTATCTTACAAATTTTATCCATGAAAACTGTATGATAAGCATTTTTCTTCCAAGTTTCTTTTTAAATCTTTTTTACAAGACAAGAAAATTACAATTGAGCCAAATAGAATAAAAATGTGTATCAAAAACTTTAAAGTAGTTTTTATATTTTGAATGAAAATTATATGATAATCATTTTTTCCATAGACGCCATATATGAAATTGTATGATAAGGGTTTTCCTTCTA